TATCATCCACATGAAGATGCCACTGTCATTCTGGAGGATCTCATTCTGGATTCATTCGGCGGCCGTATCGTATTCATTCGGCGCAACAACTGCTTCTGCATTGTAGGATTACGGGCTGTTTCATCTTCGTCTACTGGTAGGTGATCTTCGACGTAGCGCTGAAGACTCTGTCTATGGCCAAGCGGATTTCAGAGCGCAAGCTTCAGCCCGTGCTCGTCACTATTATGAGGATTGTGGCGGATTGAGAGACAAGCCTTGAGACATATCCATTCATGTGAACCACTTGATGAAGTGTCCTGAGGTATGTTGCCGGTTTTCGGAATTCTACCTCATCACATATGACAAGTACATCGATACAGCAAGTAAGCTACAAATTACCCAATACCACTGCGACTTCTCGGAAGAGCTCCTGGAGCGTGGTAATAGAGGGTACATATTCTGCTTGAGTGAGATGAGGCTTAGATCGACGAGAACGACTTCTATGGTTAAGAACCGTCCAAAGAGTTAAGAAAAGAACCAATATAAACCAGGTGTATGCTTTTCTAGTTCATCTCCTCAGGCACTAAAGAAGAACGACGTGATAGCAGCATGGTCATTGGAATTTCTCATCCTATCGTTAAACAAGAAACTCATCATCGTTGGAATCCCATACCAAGGCTCGCCACTGATCTACAGAAACCTACGATGCTATTGCAATCTTGGCGGGTTGAGCCATTTTTGACACAAATGGTGTGTTGTTAAGAAGCTATATGCATGTCTCTTGATGATCTTTACCAATAGTTTCACGGCAATTATTGCTTTGATCAAATCAGAGGAGCTGTAGCAAAGAATCTCTATGAGTCTGAAACCGTTCTCTCACTACAAACTTATTAGTCTTGCTCAAAACCACAGATTTCGGTATGAATACCCGCTGGAACTGGGATAGATGTGTTGTTATGTCGACTCGGTATCGGGAAAAGGATAAGCTTCTTGTATAGGAAGTCGCAGTCGCTACAGCGTACCTTTACCGTTTCTCATTTTCATACGAGTCTGAGTAGTGAGTCTGAGTAGTAATAATATGTCTCTCGGATGGTGATGTAAGAGAAAGCGTCTCTGAAACCAATGCCCTCCAACACAAAGCCCAAAAAACCATGCTCCGTTGCCAGTTGGTCTCAAACCCGCCCGGACTGAATTACATGAATGCCCGACGCGAGAGCCGCGAGAGTGAATCTGCGGGTCTATCGTGGCTCGTAACTCTCGATATAACTGCTCTGATGAGCTGCACTTACTGCAGTCAGACTTGCAGCTGGGGGGTCATATGTGGCTGAAGACAGCCGATCGTCACTATCGTCACCTCGAATCAAGGAGCCGTACTCTTTCCGTTTCAGGCCTTGAAACCTCTTCAACGTATCACCGAGTATCCAAGGCACCAGGCTAGAAGATCTTCCATGACCCGTTTTCAGCTTGGAAAAGGCGTTGCGGAGGATTTGTAGCGGCAATCGTCTAGCTCCCGTTGAACGGAACTTTCACAAGCTTCTGTTTTTCCGATGTCGTGCTGAACAACATGGATAGCAATCATAACATCGGCGAGACTGATTCCAGTGTTGCCAGGACCGCCGCCACCGCTACTGACCATAACATCAGATTGGCTTCAATGAATTGGGTTCCAGAAATGGAGGAAACTCGGGAGATCCCGCTCGCAACTATCTGTCTCAACCTAGGTGTGTCTCGCAGCTGGAAGTCTTCCGCATTTGAAAGAAAACATAAAGCAATGTTCAATATTTGGCTAGAGCATCTTGCGAGGTTTCGGTAGGAAATGTATCATGCGCTCTCAGATGGAAGCGCGTAACCTGATACAGGGTAGAGTCAAGTTTGGAGGTTACTTGAAACATCTTGGACACCTCAAAACGAGCATGGGGTATGATTTGGATTAGAGGAAGCTGAGCGGTTATACTTCGGCTCTCACATTATTTTGCAATAAGAGTTAGTTGTAGGGAACTCACAGTTCTAGTCCATATTCCACCGGATTCATTGAGGCTTCATGTTCTGATGACAGCTTTCTTTTTATCTTTCTCTTCCAGCTCTGTCCTGAAGAGTTGCGTGTTCTCCAGACTTGACATTGACAGAATTGGTGAACATGGAGCAATAGACTTCATTCAAAGAGCGCTGCAGAGACCCACAGCAAAGCTCAGCTTTTCAACTTGAACCTATGATGAGATACATCAATGTAGATTAAAGGCTATTCTCTCAAGCATCTTATGCTTATGTTGCGCATTCGACTCATTCTTGCATGACCTCACACGTCATCGTTTCTGACCAATTGATGAAATAGTAGCAAAGGATCCAGATATCCAATAGTTTAAGTAATGAAGACATGGATATATCCTGCGGAAATGCTATTTGTCTTGCTCACGGCTGAGAGAGATAACGAACGAGTAGATCGGGCTTCCCGTAGCTCTTGAAACTAGAATAACCTGCTAGTACCGTCTTCTGGTGCTTCCACGGACCACAGCCGTGCGTACCAAGTAACATACAATACCTATAGACGAATGCTTCAATTCATCGACAGCGCTTTCGTGAGCACCAACACCCTAGCCACTGCATCAGAATACCGCGGCTTCTAGATGATGCTCACATCGAGGCTATGATCGCGGCGTAGGCAATTACCATGAGTGAGCCATGAAAAATGATGTAAGTTCTGAGAGGGAGTGTGTCGCTGGGAAAACCGGGATGTTGCTTCTGGAAGTAGCTTGGCTGGAAATGATCGTCCCTAAGACCATAAAGACGCGGGACATCGAAGATGGGACGTATATTCATCAATTGTCATGATATAGAAAGAGGCTGAGTATCAGTATCTCCACCGCAGGGCAGTTGGTTTGAATCCCCGTGGGTGACGAAGGGTCAACTGCTGTCTATTGGTAGAAAAGGGAGTATTTTGACTTTTAAACCCGGCTTCTGAACTCTTGGGTAGCAGCAATTGAAGCTGGTTAGGGCAAGTCGCAGTGAAGGCATACCTCTTTTGTCCGCGGTAAGGTGCCTCTATGGTCCTTTTTGCCTCGTACACCTACGCGTCTTCATAACCGCGGGAATCTTCTAGTAGCCTTCTCCCTTCTTAAACAGTTACTACTAACGGCGTATTCAACTAGTAATACTCGGGGGCCAGCGGAGAGTTTTCGTAGATGGGAAGATTCGATTGAAATCTCGAGTTGGAGTCGCCGACAATAAGGTGAGAGGTACCATTCACCTCAGCAGTGGAGCAGAAGGATTCACAGATGACCGATACCAAGATTGAGGGCAGCAAAGTTGGCTGGAACTGCTGGCAAAGTTGACGGCTCTGCCAACGTACAGGAGCGGTAACAGCAGCACGAGAAACCTCGTCGCCTCATAAAGCCTCGTCCTCAGCAAGCAAGCTCCCTCGAGACCGCAGAAGATCGCGAGTATGATGACTGCTATGACTTGTACTAGGAGGATCCGCCGGCCAAGGACGACAAAGCGGTTGAGGAGGACTTTATCATCACGAGAACCCTTTCTTCTCCCAAACTTAGTGCTCACGTTGGAGTCTCGAGCCGAAGATCAATTCCTAGTCCGCGTCGACATCAGGCCCGTTCAAGTCAAACTTGGCCCACGCGTCAGTCAGGAAGTCCGAAATCATGAATAGGGTCCTGCGCTGGATCTGTTTCGGCTTGAGATTAGTCCAAGTTGGGAGGCCGAACATGAGCTACATCGCAATCGTGTCGCATTCCCAGAAAAATTGATTGTTGCTCCCTCGCGGGCGTACTTCGCGGGGCGCGTAAACGGATTCGATTGTCGCTCGGGCCAGACGCGGTCGGTGTAATAGAGGGATCTTAAGTCGCTTTCTCGCCGCTGGAGGTTTGGAGAAGTAGGAGTGGAAATTCCTCCGCTCGTCGTCGGGCTCTCGAGGCTAGTGGCCGGTAGACCGTTGAATTGTCCACAAAAGCTCAATGATAGGCTCAAATCCGCCAAATACAACGCGCAGTCTCACTCATTGCTCCACAGGCACCTGGAAATCAAAGGCCGCCAACCATTAGCTTCAGTCTAGCAGAAACAAGCAGGAAGAACACCTGGGCGCTGATCAAGGTCAGAATCCTCGAAAGCTTCATAGGAAGCCCAACAAAACAATCCCATCTTTGCCATACGATTATAATGGCTGCTCAAGATCATTCAGAGACGGGGTGAATGAAGTAGAACGAGGCATCTGGTAGGGCTGGATTACTGACGCTCCTTTGCTGCGGATTTCACTAAGGAATGTGCTATAGCGTGGTGGCGACGGCCATTGATATGCCTGCCCAAGAGGCTTGCAGTATTCGCGAAAGTTGGTTTCTGCATCATACGGCTGAGAATAGGGGCCCAGAACTTGACTCCGCACCAAGATCTCCTACTATGAGATATGGTGATTAAGAAGACCAGGCCATTGACGCTGCTGGAAATGCATTGATAGACTATTTGACTAGCTACCGGCAGTAACGAGGCCAGCCGGCTGTCTTGGTCGACCTGGTGGGGTCTGAAGCCTCAAGGTCCGCGACATCTCTGCACCTAGTATTAGTAATTGCACTTCCATTCCATGTAAGACAGCCCAAGTTGGAGATGGGGGGATCAAGACCCCATCTAGACTCGATGAGGGAGTATCCCATGGTCCTGAATCGGGTAACTCGTCGTCTAACTCGGCATCCATGAACAGGTTGTTCTGCTTGACCTCGATTTTCTCTTCAGCGGCCAGAGTAGACGTCTCGGACTCCGCTGTTAGGAAACGAGTAATCCGAATCCGAGTTCCTGAAGGGTTATTCGGCCAGACAAGCTTGAATAGGTGAGGCGACGGCAGTCAACGGGCTCGCCTCAGTGTACTCCTTCTCTTGCTCAGCCGGGTCGACCCAGTTGTAGTAAAGATATCACGGTAGACGGGCTTGAACCCCAGGTTACCTGCCAGCTTTCCTCCTTCAACTTTAAGTGAACGAAATCCATTCCCCAAGTGAGAAACGTGACCAAAGTCCTATGGTGGACAAATGGTGCCCTGGTATTGCCATTTGCCACAATTCTCCAGCGTATTAGTCCTGAATGAAGCAACACAGAGTAATCCGCGGGCGACGGCGGCCAGGGTCGCGGTTCACTGGTTAACTCGAGAAAATACAAGAAATGATGGTTGAAGTCATCATCGTTTTGTGATATAGAACAAGCAAACAGCTCAGCAAGCCCAGCCCAGCCCAGAAGAGCCGGCCCGGCTAAGTATAGCGAAATCGGCTCTCTCGACCAGTTGAAGCTCGATAATGGTGAGACCAGTCTTGGCCCTGACGGAGAGCTCGCGGCTCACACCGACGAGGAGTACGCCAGCATTCAGAGTAGCCTCCGAGCCCGATCGCCTGGGGTAGTCAAAACAAACCGGGAGACGAAGTAAAGCTCGAAGTCAAAGAGTGGTTGGGACGCGAGAACATCGTGAGGTTTTGGAATATTGACGGTAAACAAGAAGATTCGGAAGGTGGTCGGGCCGTTACTTGCAACGGTCTTTCCACCTACCTACGTACACCCAACGGAGGAATCGTAGGCTCTGCCCACTAAAATCCCCCTTTGACAACTTCTTGGCCCGCTAGACTGACCGCCAGATCGCTAGCCACTGCGAGGTGGCGTTCCGATACGTCCCTACCAACCCTCTTCCACCAAAGGTCGACTTCGAACCTCGCCTCGGAAGGATCATTTCGACAGACCTTCCTCCAGCGTCAATTACGCTTGGTTTCTTCCGCCCACTTGCTGCGGAAGAAATCCACCTTCGCCACCTCCTTCCACCAGAAGTCAACCCCGCCGCAGAAGGGTCACTTCAACAAGCTCTTTCTCTACTAGAGTTGTTCCACAAGGAAAGGCGCGAGCTCTTTCGGTAGGTCCTTCAGCCGGTTAGACCGCTAGCCGTTAGGAAAGGGCATTCCGACACGCCAACTTCCACTCCCTTCCGCCAAAGCCTTGCAGATGAAGGATCTTTCTATTGGATTCTCGGCAGTCTGCAGGAAAGATGGATCTGGAAGGCGGCTTGGGCCATACAAACGGCCCTTCCACCTACACCACACCTGCGGAGGAATCACAGATTCTCGCAAATTCGTCCTCCTTCCACCTTCATACGCAGCCGCAAACACCACTTGATTGATCCTTCGTGCCAACTATACGGTTGCCCTGCTGACGTGTATACAAACACTTACCTTCCTACACCACCCCGGAGACCTTGAGGCCGGCGACCCCACCTCCGACTCGGACGACGAGCGTGAGCCCCTTCTTGGCCTCAGCAACAGCGAGATCATGGCCTATGGCGATCAGCAGGGCGTCGCCACTTGTGATTGAAGTTGTACTATTGCCGGCCAGAGCAGCATTCAGAACCGTATGTGGTCCAGATCTCATCTAGAGCACCGTACTAGTTAAGCAAAGTTCCTACCTAGTACGGGCATCTTCCGTTTACTACGTACTTACGGTTAGCCTAGATTATCGATTTTTCCCATCTAGACGGCGGACGCGAGTTGCCGGGCACTGCTACTTGCTTACTTCCTCCAGCCACTTCGACGGCTCTTCAGCACTTCCTCCGGGAAATAACACCCACCCCCAGCCAGTTCGACGGCAAGGGCAAAGGCAAGAGAGTCATTCGCCTGGCTTAAATAGCAGCACACTACAGGCGTAAAGTCGTTCAGCGCATCCTGCATCTTCGCAAGCTTCATATGCTAGTGGCACTGGGCCTACTCTAGCTTCTGCATTTCCATCTCGAAGCGACGCCTCTACTCGCACAGTCTCGCGCTCCCCCGCTCCCAAACGACAATGCAGCAGGTCCAATTTGGCTTCGCGTCGCCGCCAGCACTGCATGCTGTTGTCAGGTCTGATCTCGACCCTGAAAATGCGGCGACCGGACTCTTCGGAAAGGGCGGGCGATGCGCGTTGCCAGTTGTCTGGTACAAAGGGCATTAAAACCAGGAGGACACATATGTGCTACTGTCCGTACTCAGAGGCATTTCAAAGAGTTCCTCTGGCTCAGGGCGAACAAGCTCATGCCCTTGACATGTGGCGGCAGCGAGAGAAAGCCCGGAAACAAGAGACGAGTAACCACACACGAGCAATAAGCAGCGAGAGGTCACAGAAAGACGTAGTAGGAAGGAAGAAACAAGGATTAACAAACCTTCATCCCATCAATTGCCAGATGGCGATATCTACGGTTTCCAATCCTATTTTCCTCATATCTGTCTACGAATAGGTCAGAAATAAAGAGAAACTTCGAGACAGACTGGGATTGAATGTACTGACGCCTTCTAGCAGCGCCGATGCCTCGACGCGTAGAACAGGATTCCGCCACACCTTTCTCCTCCGTTTTTTTTGCCTTCTCTCCTTGCGTTGAAAGTCTTATTCCCCTCCAACAATCTCGGCCGCCCAACTGTTGTGGATGTTCAGCTCCGTGAGCTCGGGCGTCTTCTCGATGACGAGACCCTTCTCGTCTAAGGGACGCAGCAGTTGGTGAGAGCTACCCCGACCGACAACACCGAATTCCGAAGCCCCCCCCCCCCCCCCCCCCCCCCCGAAACCCGCCACACCAAAACCCACACCAAACGGAAACACCCAACCCCAACCCCCCCACCCCCCCACCCCCACCCCCCCCCTCCCCCCCCCCCCCCCACACCCCCACCACCCCCCCCCCCCAGTCCCTCACGGAAAACCGACAACAGAAATCACCAAGATGGCTGAACCATCAATCACAAACTTCCTCATCCGCTCCCTCCTACCCCCCGATGCCGCCGACTTTATCCACAAAAGCACCCTCTATCCGTGCTCGACCGTTCAATAGATAGAAAGCCACGCCCTGTCCGCCGCTTCTCGCGGCTTCGACATGCTGTACCCGTACCTCACGCTCGCCGTCGACGCAGAGCCCCAGTCAGAAACGTGGAGGCACAGAGCTGACAAATGTAGTGGGTTTACAAGACCTCGGAAGAGCTCCGGGGGGTGGCACTTCTCAGGGAAGGCAGCGGGGATTGACGAGATTGTGGTAGAACGTGCGGATAAACAAGGACAATGAAGGAAGTCAGTGTGTCCTTCAGGCCATGATGAGTTTACACAATCAGAGCTTCCCAGATGAAATTCAAGTCTCTTGTATCGGCGCAGTTCTCAAAGACGACGTATTCTTAACCGACGCCTCGTGGTCCAGGATGGGCTTGACAGTCTCAGGGCTGGTGCATCCTCACGAGGAATGCGTGCATTCAGCTTAGATTCGCAGATAGACCCCCCCCTCCCCCTCAACAACATGCAACGAGTGAAAAGAGAAGTCGCTCAAGTGTTGTTTAAGATAATAGGCATCACCCAAGCAAATTGCATCTTGTATGGGGGCGATGGGCGTGGTGCAGCGCGTCGCGTGTCCACACAGAGCAAAGCGTGGCAAAATCCGGGCAGCTTTCGAGAAGCGGAAGGAAGAAGGGGAAACCCCCCCCATGGCCCTCAACATGGAGCACCGCTGAGTACAGCAGTCACAAGCTTTCGAATCCGCCTGCCTGCCTTTGTGCATCGTGCACGCCCGCACCAGCGCACGAATTCCTCCTCAGAACACCATTTTTTCCTGCCAAAAATGCACGTTCTCCCCTGGACTTCTCGAATAGAAAAGGTACCATTCCGATTAATAAGATTTTTGCTCAAGTGTCGTATTGCTCAAGAGACTGTTGCAGGCGTAAAAGGTATTCGATAAGGAGGGAGTTGGAAGGGCAGACGCACCCTCCTCCCTTCCTTCTGTTAAGGTACCTTATCAAAGGGTTCCTGCCCTCGTGCCTGCCGCCCAAGCGGAGGCCGCCACAACAGGCCACACCGCCCAGCCACAGCTGATTTCTACTGCTGCAATCCGGTGGCTTCGTGCCAGTGGAGAGCGTTTCAGCGCCTCCCTCCACCGAGGCCCTCGATGTGAAGGTTCCCCTTTCCATAAAGGCGGATGCCTTCGATCAAGAGCTCTTCTCTCGCTCAGGTTCTATCGCTGCTCTCAGAGCCGGTGTCGTCGTCATCTTTTACTGCTGTGACGGGCGAGGCCTGAAGCTTTGGCTAGGTACCTTAAGTAACCAAATCTACCTTCAGGTTCCTAGATAGTGCAAGGTTCGTCCCCTTCCTAATAGCCAGTTTCCGCTCGCAACCTAACGTGTCTTGCTTCGAATATACCTGTTGTGAGGACCAATCATAAAGAGCAGAGCGAAAAGGGAATTCGGGATGAAGGTCATCCCTCTTCGCTCATCTCAATTTAACTTGAATGCTCTCGTACAAGGAGAGACTCAATCGGAGGCGCGTTATCTGCAGACCATTATGTTCCCAGGCAGACTAAGAAGATGGGCACCAACCACCCACCCACAATGTCTAATATTCTACAGTTATAGCAGTACCTAGCACTGTGTGCCAGGCATACTATACATTTAGAGAAACCAAGCATCCATCAGCACCACTTTCTAGGTTCGAAATTCCTCTTCGTAGCCGGCGCCTCGTGACCCGCGCGCGGAGGTGGCTGTGGTGGCTTGGTCAGCCCATTAGGTGTCTGCTTGAAGTGCCGTGGTCAAATGGGGTGTCCCTGATCGATATCTGGGTGGCCCGCGTGGTTGTCTGCGAGAAAGTAACGTGCAACTATTGCGACTCTCAACGTTAACGAGAGCCGCGCAGGACCATCGCTCGATTGAGGCAGGTCCATGGACACCACTTTTGGAACTCCATCGATCGTAGCGCAGTTTGTCATATTCGGCTTCTTCCCTGAGATGGGTGCAGTGCAAATGCCGTCATGTGCGGGAGATGTCCGGTACGCCCCACAAGTAGCTGACTGCCCGCTGACCTGACCACGGCGGGGACAGAGAAATTCACCTGTCTTTCGAGCATCGAGCCTGGGAAAGCCGTCCAATTCTTCCTGGCCCCCGCATGCTGACATAAGGTGCCCGACCCCTTGCTGACCTAACGTGTGTGGACATACCCGCTTTCGGGTCTGGCATGACTAAGCATTCCCTTTGGCGTGAAGGTCCACTATACCTACGTGACTGCAGTCACGGTGTTTGGGGCGACAGTTGACAAGATGATAAATGGGGATTTGAACAATCATGTGACCATGCCTTGATCATACACTCTGGCGTTACCTCAATTGGACATCAAGTTTCTCATGAAGTTAATGATGACGCATGTAGAATGTGCACGTAAGAAGCCGTGGCGTGTGCTAAGAAGAGGCTATAAGGAAAGCTTTTGCATTCTGGCATCCATACGACCGTACAGAGCACGTGAATTACTCAAGGCAGTTCGAAAGAGTGTGTGGCCATATTCACATCATCAGGCCTTGTTTCGCATCTCTCCTCATTCTCGGGTCTTTCCTCCAGGTACCTTAAGATACTTTATCGTTCAGCTTATCACTTATCGATATCGAAAGAAAGTTGTGGGAGGTGCCCCGTCCGCACGGTCCGATTGAACACCCCCTCAATCCCCATTCTTTTCTTATCGATAAACGACCGATAAGACCCAGGGACGATTGCGAACTAAGACGAGCCCGGCTACCTTATTTTGACTGCGTGCCACTTTGTTGTTCAGGCGCATCTGGATTACCCGACGCCCAGAGACTGCGTGATTAGCACGACTACCCAGGCGAGCAGATTTCAAGGTGCGATAATCCTAGGATAATGCCTACCCTTCTGCGCCTTCCTGGGACTTGGGAGGTGTTACGTAACAGGGATAGTAATCGCACCTTACGAAGTGCCCATCACGTGCTAAATCACGTATCTATCTTAAATATTATATATATAAACCTTTTTTTTTTATCTATTTCTATTTTAATAATTAAGCTATTTTTATTATACTCCGTATACTTATTACTACGTATTATAACTCGTAATAATTATAAACCTAGCTCTTAATTAAGACCCTATATTATAATAACGTACTTATTAATACGATTTTTACGATTTTTTTTAAAATAACTAACTTACTTATACTTATTTTAGCTTAAGCTAAATTAACTAGCTATAATAATTAAATTAAATAGTTTAATATACTTTATATTATAAATAAGAGCGTCGGGGTTTAGAAGTACGTTAATTTAAACGCTCTAGACTTTAATATATTCCTTAACCACTTTATAATACTTACTTCGCTCTTTAAATTTAGATAATTAGTTATAACTCGTAATAAAAAAGAACTATAAGCTTACTAAGCTTATTATAAAGCGTTTAAAAACGACTAAAAAAACTAAGAAATCCTTTATTAATAGTTTCTAAATATAACTCTTAATACGAACCTTTTAACTTCTTTAAGTATAAGTAACTTATAGGACTAAGCTAGGTTTCTTTTTATAAAACTAGCTATATTACTTACTTTATATAAATAAATCTATTTTTATACTATACTTATAAAGAGGATCTATATATTTAAAAATATTTAAAAATAATAAGAGCTTAATGCTAAATATAAGTAACTTATAGCTTATAAACGTAATATTATTAATATATATATTAAAGTCTTTGCTTAGTAATTAGTAAAATTAGTTAATATTATATTATATAAATACGTATTTTAAAAAGCTATTAAGAACGGTACTAAGTTTAGTATATAATAAATCGTTAAATATTTAAAATAAGAATTTACGCCCCCCGAATTAGTAATAAAAAATATAGTTCGAGAGGAATATTAATAAGTTTTTAATAAAGCGAGGACCGGAATTAACTTTTAATATTAATATAAAGAGTAATAGTTTACTTATTTCCGAGCTAAGACGTACGATATTTTAGAAATTAATAAAAAAATCGTTATACTTAACTTCTTAGTTATAGTTAAGTCTAGACTTAACCCTATATAGGGCTAACGTATATATAAAACCTTTAGTAAATTAATAACTTTCGGAACGTATATAAGGACCCTCGAAGAGATTACGTATATATTTAGCTTAGTAACTTAAGACGTATATATTAAACGATTTTTAAATTAAAAAGGGGCTTATTTTACTTTTACTAAACGCTCTAACTTAGTTAATAATATAAATAATAAGAGTAACGTTATATACTTTTATAATTATATATACCCGTAGCGCCCTATAGTATACTAAAAATTAAAATAGGTATTTATAAGCTAAAACGCTAGTAAGTTATTAATACGAATATTAAGGAGCTATATAAAAGAAGTTTTTACTATTATTAAATTAAATAAATAAAAATTACTTTACGGTAAGCTTAAGAAAGCTAGTTAGTTAAGGAATAATAGTATTCTTAAGAAACCTAGGTTTTTAAAAAGATCCTCTAACTAACTTATAATAAACTTATTAATAAACTAGGACGAGGGCTACGTAATTACTATATTTATAAAAAATTAGGACTTAAAAATAAACGTAATCTTTAGTACCCCTATAGGTAGTACTTATCCCCTTTTTTAGAATATAATAATAAATAGCTATAGAATAATATATTTAGTTAATAATAAGAGCCTATTTAAACCCGAGAGTTACGTATTATTAAGTAATAATAACTACGTTAAATTAGGAATTATTATATTACTTATTACTATACGTAGTACTCGTATTATAAAAAGCGTTTTAAATAGACTTAAAGAAAAGGGAACTTATAATTTAAAGCTCTAAAACGTTACTTATATCGAGGGATTTTATATTAATATAGTTTTAAAGACTTTACTAAATAGAAGCGCACTTTAATACTACGGTTTAAATTATACTTTATAATAAGGAACGTTTTATAAAAATATTATTAAAAAGTAGCTTATTTAAAAGAATAATCTAATCTTCTTCGAATATAAGCTCTTTTAATCCTATCCTTTTTTTATAAACTTTAAGTATATCCTATAAAGCCTAGTTAATATTATATTACTAATTAGCTATAGAAAATTCTATTACTTATATTAACGTACTTATAAAAGGTTTAATAGCGCGCTCTTTTAATACTTTAAAACAGGTTATTTAGGACTTAATACTTTTTATTAATTATTATATAAGACTCGAAATATGCGTATTAAACCTTTATTATAAGTTAAGTATAAAGTATATATATTATCTAAAGCTAAGATAATAATTTTAAAGAGGTTACCCTCGAGAAAAGCTTTATAACTATAGTACTATATATACTAAGATCTTTTTTATTTTAAACTATTTTTAAATAAATAATAATATATATTTATAGCTTTTAATAAATATAATAGGTAGCTTAGGGGGTTCTTTTTAAGGACTAAAATAGAAAAGGAAGTGTTTTTTATATTATAGAGCCTCGAAATAGCGATTTATTATTAAAAAGAACTTTAATTTATTTTTTTAAAAGTAATAATAAGACCGCCCTCTTAATTATAAACGTTAAATACGTATATAAGACGTAGTATAGCGAGCTAAGAATTAGAATAAAACTTTTATTTCTATATACGAAGGAACCTATAGATAATATTAAAAGAGTAGGTTAATTTATAATTATTAAAGCTCGTAAAATGCGCCTTTTTACGAACCTTTTTACGAATTTATAGAACGAAATAGTACTAATAATAATTTTTATTTATAATATTACCCTATAGGAGGCTAATAAAGGAGATTTGCTTATTATAATAAAAATTAATTAGTAAAAGCGGTATTAATATTAGTAATAAACGGGTTACTAAGTACGGGATTTTAAACTAGTTACCCCGTATTTCGGTGGTTTTTATATATATAGCTATTAAGTATACCCTCTTTATAAGGATCGTAAGAGGGGTATATATTAAAAAGAGTTTAAAATACTTCCCCGTGGGTATATAAGATATTTAGTTAAATATATATTAAAAATATATAACTTATATAAGGTTTAAGTACTTATACTTAAATAAGTATTTATTATAAAGAATATTAGGTTTAATAAAGAAGTTTTTTATAATCTTATATATAAAGAGTAAGCTATTATAAGTAAATAAGTAAATTTAGTAATTTAAAAAATATAAGAACTCTTTAATACTAATAATAAGCTAGTTTGAGTACTTAGGGAAGTAGATCTAGACTTTAGAAATACTAGTATTTAAAATAACTTTATAATTAAAGATAGTATTATTATTAGATTTTTAATTATTTAGGACGCTAAGTAACTAATAAACGTACTCTAGGGTATAGTTAATAAGGCTAAAGAGGCTAATATAGTCTTATTATTATTATTAACTTTTAAAATAACCCCCTTATACGAGCTTAGGGGTAGGGGTAAAAAAGGGGATATAATAACTAAGTTATAAATAGCTTTACATAGTTTATAATCCTTTTTACGAGCGCTTATATATATTACGGAAGTTCTTAAGCTTTTAATTTTTAATAGCTCTTAATAAAACGTTAAAATACGTAGTAAACGAGGTACTAATTATAAAAAAGTAGTTCTTAATATTAAAGTCGACGTTAATAAGGAACCCTTATAATAAACCTCTATTATTATATAAAAATAGAGCTTATAAAAACTACCTTATTAAGTACTAAGTAAAGCTCTATTAGGTCCTAGATACTTAAACCGGGCCCGTAGACCTCTATAACGCTTTAATAATAATATTTTTATAACGCTCTTATATTTAAATATAAAAAATAGTGATTATTATAACCGTCTCTAGCCCCCCGATAGAGTAATCCGCCGGGGCCGTATTATATATTACGTATTAAAGAAAACTAAGTATATTGCGCTCTATACCTAATTACTAATTAAAACTCCCGACTTTCCCCCGTAATCCTCTAAGTTCTAGCTATTTAGAGGGCGAGCTATACTTATTCTAACATATATAAAACCTCTTAGTACTAGCCTATATAAATAGCTAGATCTTATATTATATACTCTTTTTTATTAAGGGTTAGGGGGCCCCTTATATATTCCTTTACGTTTATAATATAGCCTATATCGGAGGGATTTCTAGCTCTATAGAGTATAATTTCTAAACTAACGTTAATATATTAAATCTTAACGTTTATATTAACCCGGCTATTTATAGTATTTATACTATTACTTAGCTGAATTCCGTATTACTAAAAAGTACTTTACTATTTTTTAAATATATTTATATTAGTTATAATAACTATAGCGTCGAACTAGCTAAGGGCGCCTAGCTTAAAAAAAATAAACTTATTAACGGGTATTTTTAGAGAGTTCTAGCTTATTAATTACTAATTATATACTAAGAAAGTAGGTTCTTATTAAGGTAGTAGTTTATATATTAATAAGTTTATTTAGTAAATTTATTTAGTAAATTTATTTAGTTTAAATAGAATAGCTTTAGGTAATATTAAAAGCGATAAGAATAAAAAAAATCTTTACGAGCTCTAAAAAGTAGTAAATATTAGCCTATTTAGCCCTTTTTTTAAAAACCTCTACGTTACTATTAAAGTTTAGAACCTCTATAGTTAAGGGCCGCTTTTAACTATTATAACTAACTATTATAGCTAATTATTATAGCCGACCTCTACTATTAACCTTTCTAACTAGCGCTACCGCAGGGTAGCTTATTTATCCCGAATTATATAGTAGTTTTCGTATTAAAATTATTATATTATATTAAGCGTATACTTAAAGTACATTGTACATATTATATAATTAAAAAATATACTATATTATATAATTTCCTTTAAAAGCGTAATCCCGTTAAGGTCGATCTTTTATACTTATAAAGCTAGAAAAAAACCACTACATAACCGTTTCTAAGACTACTTTTTTTTTACTTTTATACTTAATTAATAAAAAGCTATAAAAAAAAGTAATATAAGATATATAATATTTTATTAAATAATAAAAAGAGTAGTTTATAGGACCTATTTAGAGCGCTCTAAAGGAGTTTAGAAACTACGACTTACTAAAGTTAACTTTTAGAGCTTACTAAAGAAGTTTAATAATATTAAATATCTCCTACTATAATTATAAAAACTACTTAAGGATACTATAAATATAAAAATAAAAAAGTTAAGGGATATTAGTATATAAAAAGAGGTCGATTATAATCCTAAATAAGAAATCCTACTTTTATTAAAATAAGTATATACTTATAAATACGACGTTAATAACGAGGTTAGCGAGGTAAAGGTACGTATATATATAAGGGGGAATATATAACTACTTAACTTTTTATAAAATACGTACGCTTCGACGCTTATTATAAAAGCTTTTAGGCTTATAATAGTAATAACTACTTAATTCGACCTTAAAGTAGACTAGTATAATATTATTAACGCATTTCTTAATGCGCCTTTTAAAAATAAAAAGCTAATAATTATTAAACTTTTAGAGAGATATAAGGTTACTAATAAAGTAAGTAAGCTCTAACGCACTCTATATAGCCTCTAAAACTTACTAATTCTCTAGTTCTAAACTTTTACCTCTATACTTCGTAATATAAATATAATATATAGCTACGAAGAGATTTATATTTACTAAACCGTAAATAAGAAAGTAATACTAATATTTTACGTTAACGACTTTATTATTTTATATTATTAAGATAACTAAAAAGCGGCTTAGAGGATCGTTAATAATATAAAAAAATATATTAACTTTAAAAAGAATAAACCGATTAATTACTTTCTTAGAGTACGGATTTTATAAAACCGTACTACTCGTAAGGTTTATTTTATTTATAATATATATATTAAGCGAGTTACTAAGCGCTTCGACTTTATAAATTTATTATATTTAACTACCCCTCTTTTTTAAAAAGAGTTTAAACTAAACGAGGGGTAAGTAATAAAAAAGGAAATAAAGAGCTACTAAGAGAAGGTCGGGAGTATACTTTATATAACTATTATAATTAAACTAAATGTCGCTTTTACTTATTTATAATTATCACAGTTCTTAACTAACCTAAGCGCAACTTATATTAAAATAATTAACTACTATATCTAATATCTTTATATAACGAAATATCTTATACTTTACTATAGTAGCGTACTAAGTACGTAATTATTATTTTTAACTAAAAATACTAGTTTTATAAATAACGAGGTAATACGACGATTACTTTAAAAATATATAATATTCCTTTTTAGTAGCCTAATTTAATAAAAATTAGTATACTAAGTAATAGTTACGACGTTAATTACTAAAGCTAAGCTTTTTTACCTTAAGAAAATTATAAAAAAGACTATAGCTCTAAAACGCTTTTTTAAAAATATTACCCTTAACCTAAGAAAAGTATAGTTAATTAATTATAATAATTAGTAAACGATTTAACTCGTCGTAGGGGAAAGAGAAAGAATAACTATTTAACTTTATTATATTAATATATAAAATATATAGCTAAGATAAGAGCACGCTAGAGGTAGCTTCGAAGTTATTTATATATTAATAAAAGATATATTAATAAATAAACTTATTAAAAACCTTTTACGAGCTAAGTTTAAATATTTTTATATACTTCTTAACCTTTACGATGCGTAAGAAGCTATTATAAATAGTTAAAATAGTTAAAAATAATTAATTTAGGCTATACTTAGAAAAACTTAATACCTAAAAATAAATAATAAATAGAACTTAAAGTGCGGCCCGGAGGCTTAAAATAAATAAAATAAAAACCTTTTATAGCTTAAAAGCCTAAACTCTTAAAATAACCTTACCCCGTAGGGTATACGTATATAAAAATAAGACCTAGGTTTATATTTATTATTTAAATTCTTAGTTTATAAAGTATATAATTACTAGGAGTATAGCGTTACTAAAGAGGAGGGTTAGTATACGTACTAAAAAACGTATTTTATATATTTTAAAATTTATAAAACTAGGAGTAACGGGGGTAGTAGGGGGTATAGGAACTAAAATAACCGTTAGGTTAATAACTTAGGGTATAAAAATAAGTAGTATAATAAGAAGTTAGTTATAAATAATTACAATAAGTATAAAAAAAGACTAGGGGCGCGGGTTAAAGAAGTTTTTTATATAAAAACTAATATAGTTTTTATATATCTTTTAGTTATTTTATATTTAATAAACGATATTACAGAGCTTAGTAATATTTTATTAAAATTATAATTAAAAGTACATTTTTTAATAATAAAAAAAGATAATATACTTATAAAAGAGGGAGCGCTATTTATAATAACCTTAATAAGAGCCTAGGCTATTAGCTATAAAATAACTAAAATATTAATATACCCTTTAGCTAAACGGCCGTTAAAATAGCGCGTATATTAGCTATTACTTTTTATAAAATAACGATTACTATTTTTAAAGTTAGTAAACTAGAGGGCTATTTTAAAATAGGGTAAGTACTAAATTTCCCGTTCTTTAAGAACTTCTTTTTTAAGCTTCTTAGGGACTAAGTATATATTAAATAGGCCTAGAATAGTAAAAAAAACTATACTTATTATAGGGGGTACTTTTATTTCTTAGCGTTCTTTTTTATTTCTTATTATTTTTTTAAAAAGAGCTAGCCTTATATTTTTTAAATTTTAAAATAATATTAAATATAAACTCCTAAGATAATTAATATATAATATACCCTTTTTAAAGGGCTTATTATCTAAACTAGTTTTATTTTTATTTTTAAACTCCGAGGGGGAGATAAGTAAAAGCTTATTAGAGCTCTTATTATTATTATTTATTTTATTATTGCCCTTATTATAGTTATTAAAAAGAGCTTTAAACTTAATAAAGTTCTTAGCGTTTTAATTAGTAGCTTTAATATCTCCTTAGCTAAAAAGGGAGAGCTTAGTAACTAAGCTTTAATAAGTAAATAAAAAGTTATAGGGGGGGGAAATAACTTAAAGGGGCTCGTTAGTATTATTACCTATCTAAACTTTTAATAAACTATATAATACGTATATAAGAAGTATTATAAAAATTATACGAAATTTATTATTATTTCTAAATATATTAAATATTTATATTTAGAATAAAATTAATAAACGATTTAATAATATAAGCGTATATACGTAATAAACGGGGGTATTTATAATAATTACGAAAAGTTAAAAAAAAAAAAAAATAATAGCTAAGTAACGCTATAAGAATTTAAATATATATAAAGTAGCTAAGTAGCCTCGCCCTTAGTAATTTATATATTAAAAGTAATATAATACGCACTATTTTAAGTTAAGATTCTATTTATTTTAAATAAAAAGATATATTTATAATAAACGTAGTTTAAAAAACGTATATCCCTTATACTTATTTTTCTTTTATTTATATTTAACTAAATTAGGCCTTTATAAAAGTATTTAGAGATTCTATTTTAGGTATAATAGCTCCTTAGTAATAGTAATTAGGGGGTATATTACGTAATAAGGATAGTAATCGTACTTTACAAAGTACCCGTTACGTACTAAATTACGTATTTTTTTTAGATATTATATATGTAGACCTTTTCCTTTTGTTTATTTTTATTTTAATAGTTAAGCTACTTTTATTATACTCCGTATGCCTATTACTGCGTGCTATAACTCGTGACAGGAGGGAACTAAGAGGGAGCGATGTGCTGATTATAGGATTAGGGGTTGCCGAAATGCTGATAATTAAAGGTTTTAGAATTGATGCCGAACTCAGCTCACAATTCCGAGGATTGGAAGTGAGGAGCGGGGTTCTAGTCTAGCGATCCTAGGATTCAGGACGGGAGCAGTCTTGCCTTCGTAGGATTTCTCATCGCCTGTTGGTATCCCTATCACAGGGTCATTGATTCGTCCGGCTTTGTGGGTGCGCTGCCGTATGTGCGCTGCCCTTGACGCGCAGTCAGATTGGACTTCAAAGCCGACATCGCCTCAACATTGAGCGAGCCGCACCTATACGGAACTGATGACAAGAATGTGCGGCACTCCAGGGCATGCACAACCTACTGCGAATATCAGGGACAACGCAAACGTTCACAGAACTTGCTATAGAGCAACTACTTTGAGTTTACTTGCCGAGGCATGCGATGTACCGCATACACTACTTACTGTGGTGGAACGGAGGACCGTCACGCAGCACTGGGCTGGGCGCTTTCAGGACCCCTTTGAATGCAGCACGATAACAATACAACCCATCATGACTTGGTCCCACCCTCTCCTTGGCCCTCCATATGCCATAACCATCGATTAACACAAAGGAAACCTCGGTTGCCGCCAAAGCAACATACGATTCGCCATATTCGCTCATCAGACGCCACCAGAACCTGGCTGTCCCCTTTGAGGTTATCAGCAGGATGGGAGTGAGCAAAGACGATATCTGTTGGTATACACAGCAAGGCAACCGTATAGTTGGCACGGAGGGTCAATAAAGTGGTGTCAGCTGCTGCGTATGGAGGTGGAAGGACGAGGAATTCTTTCCCGTCGGTCGACTAAACGGAAGTAATCTCTCGCTTGATGGAACGCGCTTTCTAAGTTTCCGTCCAGCTCCTGTAGTCGAGAGTAGGCAGCACAAAGTCGGCAGTGATCCTGCCAGTGAGTCTCGGTCACCTAAAGTAAGTCAATAGGCAGAAGAGCCGGCTGCCCGTTCAAGACTGTCTCCTGTGTGACTTGTTGCCCTTGCTGATCTGAGATAACGGAATTCGACTACCGATCAGTGTTGGTGTGTACTGCGCACTTCAATACACGATTATTGAGTTCGTCCCGGCCGAAATGCGTGTCTGCCCTGCTAACGTGTATTACCAACACTGATCAGTGGTTGAAGTCCACCACAGATCAGCAAGGGCCCACGGTCTACAGAAGAGACAGTTACGAACGGGCAGCCAGCTCTTTCTCCCATTAACTTAGGTGACTTAGGTCCACTGGCAGGATCACGATCGACTTTGTGCTAAAACCAACTCTCGACTGCGGAAGCTTGATGGAAGCTTCGAGAGGAGCTCCATCACGCAGACCTCCTTCCGCCAGAAAACCACCGCGGAAAGGTTACTTCACTTCTGCAAGCCCTCAGCCTGCTAGAGCGCTAGCCACCATAGAAAAGCTCCCTTCAATAACTCCTCAGGCCGCCAGACCGACCGCCAGACCGCTGGTCGCTGAGCACTGAGAAGACGGCAGTTCATTACGCCGTACGACCTCCCGCCGCCAAAGATTCACCGCGGTAGAGTCACTTCGACAAGCCTTCTAGCATCGACTGCGCTCGATTCCTTACGCCGGTCGTCGACCTCGCCGCAGAAGAGTCACTTCAACAAGTTCTTTTCCTGCCAAACCTGTTCCCTGCCGCAAGAGCCCCGCCGACAAGTCACCCAGCACACTATACAGCTGATTCAGGCCACTGAACGCTGAGGATTCTTCCCAACCCGCCTACTTCCACCTCCTTCCGCCAGAAGCTCTCTGCGGAATGATCCCGCCGTCCTACACCACCGCCGAGACCCAACAGCCAACAATCGCCCGGATCTCCAGCTTCCAACAGACCAGATCTCTTCAAGGTATCCACGGGTTCAACGAAGGCTCTATTCGCTGTGAGTGTCTTCTGTTTGCTGTGTACTTGCGGTCAGCCCGCATGCTCAATTTCCCCTTCCTTTGTGGCTTCTCTCGACAAACGGAACAAGTACGACAACTGCGGCAAATACCTCGACAAACAAGGAAGTCCCAGAATATCCGTCAGTACGGCAAACGGTCACTTCCACTAGCCCACTTCCCCCCGCCACGTCGACGGCACTTCCACTTCCTCCGGCTAGTTCGACGGTGAGCTCCTCCTTTAGCCAATTCGACGGCACCTCTTCCAGCCAACCCGACGGCAAACACGCGTATTTGGGACAACAGCATACTACAAGCAGCAAGTCGCCTAGCGAACACATACGTCTCTTGGGCTTCGGCTTGGAGAGAAACGCACGTGCGCGGGGCATAGTCAGACCGGCAGGAAGTTCTTTCTGACTACGCTGGATTCGACGATTTCTAGCGGGCCTGGACGCGTCTTGTCACGAAGACTTTGGGCATTGGAATCATACGAGTTGATGGATCAGGATACAAATTTGGGGAGGACCAGGACAACAGTGTTTGGGAAACTTGGTACGGCAATTACAGCAGAAGCTATGCTAAATATCTGGTAGTTGACTTTCAGCATTTCTGAGCAAAGATTTCATCACTGTATTCGACGGCCGTATGAAGCCATGAATCTCTCGCTCAAATCCGCTGCCTTTTCTGCCAACAATTTGGACACTGCTTATGTGGAATATTGAAGGATTTGCAAGGCGATCGGATCGTTATAAGCGGCCCTTCCACACCCATTTACAACCAATGGAGGATTCGTGGGCTATGCCCATTAACTTCCTCCTTCCATATGCGCAGTTCAATGCACACTTATTGAGCTTCGTCCTAGCTGAAAGGCCTGCCTATACTGATGGTGTGTATTAAAAACAGTATCAAGAACGAGTGGAATTCTTCCTTCGTTACCTACATTTCCGACGGGCTGGTCTCACGTCAAGGTTTGCCTTGGTTCGAGACAACAAACATCCATCTCGACGTTTATCTCGCGGCGAAGACCCTGATCCAGAGCCAGAGCTCAACGAAATTATTAGCAGCGATTTTTAGGAACACGCCATACATTGCAATGCTGATCTCACTCAGACCAAAGTTAAGTGAGAACAGCGAATGGAATGTTGGATGGCTCGGATTCGATCCTTAGCAGAAACCACCGATCACTAGGCGCAATCTTCCTTTACTTTTTGCCGCGAGGACACTCCCAGAAAAAGACGCGCTCGCTTTCTTACGGTCACTCATTCAAGACGGCGTTCTAGAACAATCTCCTCTTCAGGCTCTTGATGATTGTGGGAACACTATTCTTGATACTGCTGCCAAAGCCTCCAAGCCTAGTTGTGTGGCGTGGCGCCTTCAACAACCAATTATGGCAGCATTTCAGGGAGCTCATGATTACGCAGGATATACGCCACTGGAAGCGCTAGAGGCGCAGCTTGAGATGAGCCGAGCTCAGAAGCTTTGTGGGCTTAGTCGCATGCGACTGATGGGAGATGAGTTCAGTGGCTTTGTCAAAGGTTCAACCACATGCCTTTCTCTGCTTCAGGGTATTGAGGCGCCGCCCCAAGAGCAACGCGCGAGGGTCATTTCTGGCTGCACGTGTAACATATGCCTCGATGGTTTCTTGAGCCCGCGCATGGTAATGAAAATCAGTGAATAGGCCTCGATGCAGCACGTTTTCTTGACCAGTTCCACTGCTCCCGGCCGAAAGGGCTGTTTCAGACGATGAAAGGACTTCCTCACACATTTCTCGAAACATTACGCTCACAGATTAGAGACTCAAAAGGTCCTTCAAACAGCCGTTGTCTTGATCATGGGCGCTGTGGCGGACTGTCTATCCTTGAGCTATATTAAGGAGGTATGGTCGATGCTGTTGACAGTGCCATTTTGATACTGCGAGGCTGTCATTGAAATGGGTGAGGGTGTGTTAGGCCAGGATCCGGAAGAACACCAAAATCACCTCTCAAAGTGCTAAAACGATTTGGGCTTCGAGCGTGTGGTTCGACATTGTGTCGAAGAAGTCATTCAAGAAGACACATTCAAACAGAGCCTGCCGTGAGTACTGCCTACTCATTTCAAAACCAATGGCATGCTTAACCAACCGTGTGTTTCACAGGGTGCAAATACGACGGGCCACAGAGTCTCACCAGTCGCTCAAGGGCAAGATCTTGGGCAAAGCAATGTGAATGATTAGGTTGCATGAGTGGTTGCTTCAACTTCCCCAACTTGTGTAACAGAAACTGGTCCACGTTCTCAAATCCGCAGACAAGAGTACGGTGTTGCTGGAGAAAGAGAAAATGCCCCTCATCAGGGTTTTTAGCGCCATACGTCGGGAAGAGTGTATCAATCTTGAGACAGTCAGATGACAATGGTGTTAGCTTTATCATTCACAGATTGACACGAATTAAAAAAGAGAATCCATACTTTCTAGTTTAGTTCAGTACCATATGCTCTCCACGGCATCCGCCAGTTTGTATTTTTCCTCAGTTTGCCACATAAGCAACGCAGAACAGTCTGCCATCAGACCTTCGCTATCTGTGGCGAGTGGCAGGTCGAAAACAACCATGGTAAACCGCACTGCTATTCCACTCTACTTCCTCGCCTCTCGAACCCAATCTGTTCTTCTTTCTCATGATACTCTGCAATATCAACACAAAAAATCCATGGGAGTCTTCCATTCGCAGGATTGAACATCGACGTTGATTCCGAGCTGCTGTACCAACCATTCAACGACAGCAAAGTTACCACCAGACGACTCATTGCAAGATGTAATGCTACATACCCCGCTCCTTTGGATGAACAATGAGTACTTAGCTGGGAACTTTCGGTTCTCTGAAGTGCTTAATAGTTGTATGGAATACTTCGGGACTCTTGAGTTGCTTCTCGGTTAGTACGTGGGCAGCGAATCGGAGGGCCGCCAAACCGACATCGTCTTCGTGGCTAATGGTCGTAAGTAAGGGATCCTCATTCCCAGAGAGAGAACAAGAATGAAGGAGATCTGGGACTCAATGTCTTGGAAGCTGTTGAAGAAAGGAATAAGGTTTCAGGGGAAGGTGTTTCCACCTCTCCGCTGGGCCAGGTTGGTACTTTGAGTTTCCCAAACTTGCGTCACAACTTGAGAGCGGCCCTGAATTTCAGAAAATATTAGAAGAAAGTGTGAACCTGTCGGAGAAAGCATCATGCCTGGCCTCTGAACCACTTGAAGAGCGCTAATAATGAAATACAAAACATTCGTTTTTGGTAAGAGTTTTCGAACGACTGGTACGTTACGGCTGACATCTGCGTCCATATTGTCTCGACGGTGAATCAAAAAGAGACTGACCTGTGGCCCTCAAAGACTTAATAGACACAGAGAGCCGACCCAAGTTCTTGACCTGGACCTAAGGTCTCGATCTTGGTAGTCTCACAAATAATGTAAGGTGGCAGTGCTGTTAGATGTGCAGTCATTCGGGATTGGGTGACTGCAAGTGTTGAACCGGAAGCATCAAATCCACACCGGACTCAGAGAGGAATCTCACGCATGAAGATGCCGCGAGTTGACTCTGCCGTCCGTGGAGGATATCCTCACGGATTCGGCTGGCTGGATCACAATCCATGGCTCGGAAGAATGCCTAGTAGCCCTGTATGTGAAAGCTGACGCACTCGGCAATGAAGCATCTGCAAGAATATAAACTGAGGTTGCCAATGATCGTTTTGAGCAGGTAAATTGAATGGAAATGTGGCTGCCTAGGTGATTTGTGAGTCTCCAAACTGTGGCTCAGCTCCATGAGCTAGAAGGGCTTGCAAAGCGCAGTGATTTCCGGCTGCTACCGCTCAGACTAGAGACGAATTGGTCGAATAAGCTATGGAAAGGTTTCTTGTGAGTGATCCCTGGCTCGCAGATGTTGTCAATGTGGAGGCCGTGTTGGAGCAAAGTTGACCCAATTCTGGGCACATCACCGTCTTGAAAAGCTGCGAGGAAGTGAAGAAAAGTAACTCCATGCGGTGTTGTGAGAGCAGCCTTCGCTCCAAGAGCAAGTAAATTTTCTCGTATAGACGTATGTTCTCCTCAAAACGACATCATCAGACAGGTTTCTCTGAATAAACTTTGGCATTTGTACCAGTCTGAAGGCAATTATTCTGGAATGTCAAGAAGGAGATCAATATTCCTGGTAATAGCTGATTTGTGAAGCTTGTTGAAGATAGTATCAGTTAGGCAATCTGCCACACCTGGCGGAAATTGATGAGAAGAGTTTGATTGAGCAAAGCGAAGATAGCGCCGGTGTTCTGCCTGCTTTGGAAGCAGGCACAGCCACTCCATCTCCTCATCCCGGAATACCGCAAGACTTCTTCTAAGGAATTCGCTGAGACGTCCGACAGAAGCTTGAGCCTCCATAAGTCCATGCCAGACTGCAAATGTCAAATATAAATAGCTCTAGAGCAACGTCGAACCGTTTCTAGGCGGGGTCGTTCGCGTTAAACACAACACCAGCATACTAGTATGCCGCATCCACTGGGCTCGTCACTGAATTTCAAACGTCCGTAGCATTTTTCAGTGACTTCTTTTCCAAGGTTTCTCTCGCAGGGCAAAGCAAAAGTCTCAAGTGGAGAACGAATCTAAGATAGCTCTGTAGAAGTTTTGTACTAGGGGCATATTATGTAACAATCTCCATCGACCATGTACCTTGAACAACGTCTTTTGCGAGGATATCATCTTCAAATCCATGAGCTGCCGAATTTTCATTTCAAAACCACGCAGAGTTGAAACTTTCTTGGAATTCGCACCAGGCAGAACAGTGCTTACGAAATTTCCACATGCCGCACCATCCTTCTTGTCAAGTCTCCAATATTTCTTCGGGCCACAGCACGACGGATTTGAGGTGTTTGTAGAGTGTTCGATAACGCCAAAGGTTCTGAGAACGATTTTATACAAAGTCACGGCCTTCTCTAGACCGAACTTTGTTTCTTTCAGACAACCCTTTGGCTGATGATAGCAGTGAGCAAGAATGCCGGCCTCAAACTCGCTTCTACTGATGGTGGAAGGAATCGTTTGCCCCGTAAACCTTCGCAACTTTGTCTTCCTCATAGTTTTGGGAGAAGCGATCTTAGCCAACAGGTCTGATTGGTTGTCACGTTGGGATAGTGTATGCAAATGCTGCCGTTGTATAAATCTGAGTTCTGTTGCTCGCGTCTTGATAGAATCGGGCGGATGACTAGCATTGGCGACCAACAACTCGTTGAAGATAAAGCAAGTATCAGTAACTGACTCCATGGTCGGCAAACCCAGAGCTTCCGACCCAATAAGAGTCTGTCACCCAATCGTTGCTCTCCGCTTGGACATCGCCACTGGTTGGAAGATGATGGTGATGAGCTATGGTCCAGGAGGCTAGGTTATCTGCTTCCTTGAGAGATTGCAGGTTTGACGCGAAGATAGCTTTCATGCTGTCAACAGTATGACTACTAGCTAGGAGAAATACCAGCGTAATACCAACAGAGAACAGGTCAGTCTGAACCAAACCAATTCATCCCATCCTGAGAGACTGGGCTGCACATTCTGGCCAGCCACAGGAAAAAGTCTCAGAGGGGGGAGACATGAAAACTTACTTCGCTTCGCCGCATTGTGGATCCAAAGTCAGTGAGATTGGCTATATATCCTTTACCTGATGATATCTTGAAGAGGAAGCCTCATCAAAACTCCAAGAAACATACCGGTGGTATGTAGCGTGTGAAGTCTCGAAGTTATATCCAAGAAAGGTCTGAGCCGCTCGCTCAGCGTCAAGAACTGTACACAACAAGATATCGCAAGGTTTCCGATTTAAGTGTCCTCCGGAAACAAAATAGGTCATGGTTTATGTTGGTATTCACGTCAGCAAGGCAAGCCTTTCGACCGGTACGAGGCTTAATAATCGTGATATTAAACGGCGCATGTATAAAAAGAGGAAGTCAGTGGACAGAGCCCACGATTCCTCCGTTGGGTGTAAGTAAGTAAAAGGGCCGTTTGCACCGGCCCAACCACCTTCTGAATCCCCTCTTCTGCCCTCGATATTACAACAGTTCAGAACTTCCTGATGATAGCGTCTGTGTCCGAACGCCCTAACAATGTTGTCATGTCTCGCTGGTGGCTGGGTCTGCAGAATTTGATGCTAAATTGCTGAATACAGGAGAAGCTTGAAGGCTTGAAAGAACCTGCTATTTGACTCGATACGAGATGCTTTGATAGACAGTGATCGCTGGAAGAGGCGGAGCTCGTCTAAGTCAACAGACTCATCCAGATCAGAGACAATCTGGCCAGCCAAGAACTTGCGCGAGACGAATGTGATGGAGAAGGGTGTGACTCCGAGAAGCTTTGTGGCCGAAGCATGTTCTACGGACCGAAGTGGATCGAGAGAAACACGAAGACATTCCCTGTCGTGCCTTGCTTGACGTTGGGTTGTCGTACTGCGTGGACGAAAGACAATAAGTTAAATGCATCCGCTCGAGTTGGGAAGACTGCACCTTTGCCTTCCGTTCTGTGGCTATAACCAAAACATTCCGAGTCCATTTGCCGAGTGATCATCCGCCTGTTGGAGAGAGGATGGACTGGGCGGATTCAGGCGTAAAAGGAGGAAGACAACCTCGCAAGGCACCCCACGGTGATAAAGGCGACTTGGGGTAGAAGGTTCGCTTGTAAGGGGGAGAAAGTGGCGTTGAAAGGCTTCGCAAGGCATTCAACGGTATCTAGTGTAGGTAATTGCAGGCGAAGCGGTCCAACGAGTCAAAAGATTTGCGGCTACGGGCGGATCAGCGTTGCACTCACTATGTCAAGGTGCAGTCAGCTCCCGAACAATGAAAAGACCCGAAATACTGCTTCAAATAAAGGGGGAGCAAGCCAAGATCTTGGAACGGTGTTAGGAAAAAGCCAACACCGTATTGCTCACATCCTGCATGGTTCAGTTCTCGACATTGTGTGCCGCTCAAAAAAAGCGCGATAACATCTTGCAGCGCCAATTGCGCTGGAGTTTCCCCACACGCTCGCCGTGGAAGAATTTCACCTTATCCACCTCTTTCAGCTATGAGTCGACCTCGCTATGAAAGGGTCACTTCGACAAACTTCTTTTCTGCCAGAATTACCTGCAGAAAGAGTATCCTCTGACACACCCTTTAGCGTTCCAATTCACCAAACGACCTCCTTCCGCCTGAAAACGAGCTCTCCGCAAAGTGTCATTTTGACAAGCCCTTTTCTTTTTCCTTTCCAGAATTGTTCCATGCGGAAATAGCTCCTTCGGCGAGTCTCTTGGTCCGTCAGACCAATGGTTGCTGAGAGAGAGCGTCCCGTTGCAAAACGCCTGCTTCGACTTCTTCCGCCCAAGCTCGCTGCGGAAGGGTTTCCCCCTTCTACACCACCGCCGAGATCCAACAGTCGCCCGTATCCTCAACTGCCTCGTCTTTTCCAGGGCAACACTCCGGTCTCAACGAAGTCCCTGCCCAACGCGCGTACCTTCTGCTTGCCGAGAAATTATGGGCAGCCTAGGCTCCTCGTTTTCCCGTTTTTATAGCCCCTCGCCAAACGGCAAGTATGGAAAGTGGCTACACAAAGAGAAACGTATCAGTATTTACCATCACTTGAACCCACAAACTTCATCTAGCCCCTTCAATGGCAAGGTCAGCAGTCATAAGCACTTCCGTCAAACCACTTTCATCTACCGCAGCCACCTCGACGACTCACCAATACTTCCTCCAATCAAACCTGCAGTCAAACCCACCTCCAGTTAGTTCGACGGCACCTCAGCTTCTCCTTAGCCAATCCGACGGCACTTCCTCTGGCCAATGCAACGGCGATACCTCCTTCAGCCACCTCGACGGCAATGGCAAGGGCAAGAATAAGGTCATCATATGGGTAGTTGGGATAGCTGGATACTACAGGCGGCAAGTCGCCTAGCGAACGTATGCGCCTCTCGGGCTTCGGCTTGGAGAGACAGTCCTTCCACATTTCATGATATTTGGGTGGGTGAGTATAGGAGGTATACGGGGGAGACCAGGGTGTAGAGGAACAAGTATTGGTGAGAAGCGACAGATCTCATGGGGAAGATGTTCCCACGAGCAAACTGCCGCTGCGTCAACGACACTTAGAAACTGGGATACATGGTATACGGTTTGGGAACCTCCCTCCGAGTCGACACCATCCAGAAGCCATGGTCATCCCAGTTTCCGACCAGCCACTGGGGCCACCCGGACGGTGCTCCAAGGTGTATGAGATTCTTTTTTCTTTTTTCTTTTTTCTTTTGGCGTGATTATTTTAGATTTTGGGCGTTTTTGTCGGCGACGTCGGTGATTGAGGACCACGGATTATCCAAGCAGGCAATATTGGTAGGTACCCGTAATATCTTCGTCGAGAAGGCCATTCCCAACTTGCGATCAATTGTGGGCGAGGCTTATGCAGGTGCCGTCTGGTCTGCCTTGATGCTTTATCAGATAGTTTTGCGAAGCTGTCACTCCATCAGGCATTCTCAAGAAATGTTGCAAGTCAATTGGACATTTGTTCAATTTGAGAGATTCGGGCACAACGTGACAAGTCATGTTGAAGCATTGCATAGCGGTTCAAAATAGGTAGTGAGGAGGATGCTGGCTCGTTCATCCCCCAATGCTAATTTGAGAACAGTGTCCTAACGTCTGTTCAGGTGTCAAACCAATGCAGTTCGCCTTGCTCACCTGTAGGACAAACGGGCCAAGCTTCAAGCAGCCATATCGGGGTGAGTTCGCGGGTGAGGCGACAGCACTACAACGACGAAGTGATGCGCCACGAGGACCTACGCAGCCGGGTATTGTTTCTTCGCAACAAGAACGAGTTCGCCCTGGTAGTAATTCATGATCGTGAACTTGGTGCGCCTATCGTTGAGACCGACTGGCATTAGTAGACTTGATTGAAATCGGCGGTTTCCAGGATGGGATCCGTATGGACAATGAGAAAACAACTTCATGCAGCCCAGGGCAAGATCCGTCGAACCAGTGTTTCCCATATAGCTAATCTTGACGAGATCATGGGAATCTGGCACGACAGTTGAACCACTCAAGCTCAACGTCTGGGCAGGATAGTGGCGACGCGAGAAGCTAAAGAGATTCTCAACCAGCTTTATAAGAAGATCCAGGTCGTGATGTGTTCCTGAAGAACCCATTCCATACCTTGCGTCGAGTAAGGGGTTGGTGTTCCCGGATTGCCTTAACGTCTAACATCCCCACGTCCTGTCCCAGCGGCCCGTCCCAGCGGCTCAGCGGCCCAACGTCTAACGGTCCAACAGTCTCCATCACGTGGGCCACGAAGGGCGCAAAGACAGTGGGCAGTACGAAGCCCATTCATGGAAATTATGTGTGTGTTTGTCCTACCAAGTGCCCCAGGACGTCAAGGTTGCAAAGGTCGTCTTGCTAAAGGGAGCTTTTCTGAGGCGGTTAGAGGCCTGGCGGTCGGTCTGGCTGCTGGAGGTGGAGGCTTGTCGAAATGTCCTTTACACGGTGTGTTTCAGGCGGAAAGAGGTCGTACGGCGTGCTGACCTGCTGTCTTCTTAGTGGCCAGCGGTCTGGTGGCTGAGGACTTGTCGACGGAGCTCTTTCCACGAGTAATTCTGACAGGAAAAGGGATGGTGCATCGGTCCTTCCGCGGTGGGCTTTGGTGGAAGGAGGTCTGTGTAATGAAATGCACTATTCCGTAATGGGTACATGGAAGGAGGAGGTTGGCGGGCAGAGCACACCATCCCTGCTTGCGTACAATAGAAGGCGGAAAGTGCAGCGGCTCGACCACCTTCCGAGTTCCCTTTTCTAACGTCACTAGGTACCTTTTCAACACGACCTCTGGCCTTGCCTTGAACCGATTGCAACTCACCCGCACTTGAATGTAGTGTGGAGCGAGGTCTCGAAAGCTTCGGTTTGGAATACCGTCGGACATTTGTTATGACCATCTCCGGACTTTTTGAGACGAATGCGGATTACCTGGCACTGTTGACTCCCAGACTCTAATCACTGATCAGTTTTAGACTGATGACCACACGCCCAGGAACATCCATCAAGTTGATAAACATTACCAATTTGGGCCCTTGCCTTCCCGAGGCATTGTCTGAATCTACGCCGCCCATCTTACCATTCTAAACCAGCATGCACTAACTGTCATCCAGGGGAAGTAACATTCACCATTAGGGTGCTCGTGTACCAACTACGGAATCACCACAAATCACTACCACTGAATACCTCGATTAGTGTCGCTTCTTCAATCCAGCCCCTAGCTTCTCAAGAGTAGGCATTCTC